CTTCTCCAGGTTGATGTTCTCCAGTTTCCCCAGGTTGACGTTCTCCAGAAAACGCCAGGAACATCTTGTCAGGAACATGCTATGAAAGAAGCTTCCCCAGGTTGATGTTCTCCAGAAAATGCCAGGAACATCTTGTCAGGAACATGCTATGAAAGAAGCATCTCCAGGTTGATGTTCTCCAGAAAACTCCAGGAACATCTTGTCAGGAACATGCTATGAAAGACACTTCTCCAGGTTGATGTTCTCCAGATGTTAGACTACTAGCCCCATCACCCCTAGCTAAGCACATCTGGAGGGAACCAGATTGGGGAAGACTATTGAAGCCCCCCAACCTTTATAAGAACTACCTTGGGGGAATTGGTGGCCTCTTTCTTGCGGTCCCCAATGGCAGCGATGCTGGCGAAATACTGGATGACTCGCTTCGTGTTGACCGTCTTCCCTGCACCGGATTCTCCGCTGAAAAGGAGACAGAATAAGGGTGGGGGGAGAGGAAAGGGGTATCTTTGATTTATGACTTCTAAGCCGTCCCATTTTTTAAAAAATGAACTCCTCCAGCTTGTAAAACCGTAGTTTGAACGTGCACTTTGATACTCACGTGATAAGGATAGATTGATTTTCTCGATCTGAAAAAAAACAGCAAATATGGAGATAGTGTTGGGAATTAGAATGGAGTTGAATTTAACCCATTAATTCATCTTTGACAATGAATGGGTAGCTGACACCATCCAGAGGTAGTCCTCACCTTATGACCACAACTGGGATGAGAATTTCCATTGCTAATAATGAGGTTGCTAAGTGATTGTGCCCGATTTTAGGTCTGTTTTGGTGACAGTTCCTAGATTAGGTTGTTGTTTACTGTTAGCTTGTTTGTCTCAATTGGTAGTTTCTTGATTGGGGTGTGGTTTACTTCTTGATTGTTGATCTAGGTCAGGGGTCTTCAAACTTGGCCCTTTTATGACTTGTGGACTTCAACTCCCAGAATTCCTCAGCCAGCATGGGGGAACTATGGCCCCTTTGTGACTTCTGGACTTCAACTCCCAGAATTCCTCAGCCAGCATGGGGGAACTATGGCCCCTTTGTGACTTCTGGACTTCAACTCCAAGAATTCCTCAGCCAGCATGGGGGAGCTAGGGCCCCTTAATGACTTGTGGACTTCAACTCCCAGAATTCCTCAGCCAGTGTACCTGGCTGAGGAATTCTGGGAGTTGAAGTCCACAAGTCATCAAAGGGCCAAGTTTGAAGACCCCTGATCTAGGTGTTAATCTCTGGGTATTGACTGGTGGTGAGGAGGTTTGGGGGTCTTTTTGTTTCCTTTTTGGCTTTTTTGATTCTCACTTTTCAATGGTAGGTAGTTGTTGCTTCTCTCTGTGTGCCTGTTGATGGCTGGTTTGGCTGAGTGCCAGGCTTCCAGGAATTCTCTAGCGTTTTTTGGAGTTGGCTTAGTCTAGGTCAGTTTCCCAGTTGAAACTATGTTAAGTCTGTCCATGTGTTGGGAAGTTAATAACAGCCTGATCAAGGAACAACCAAGACCACTCCCCACAACACCGACAGGGCAGGCCACTAGTATATACGAAGAGAGCAAACCCCACTCTCTTCCACAACGGATGACGTCTCCTAGTTGGGTCATGAAATGTCTGCAAGAAAACCACCAAGCTCAGAGAGCACCAAGGACCCCACAGTCATTCCTCCTCCTCCCCCTCCTCCTCTCCATAAACCCCACTCCCTTCTAGCACTGATGATGTTCCCTAGCTGGGTCATGAAACATCTACACAAAAACCACCCAGCTCAGTGAGCACCAAGGACACTACAGCCACCTCTCCTCCTCCTCCTCCTCCTCCTCCTCCTCCTCCTCCTCCTCTCTCCACAATCCCCCCTCCTTTCTAGCAGTGATGATGTTCCCTAGTTGGGTCATGAAACATCTGCAAGAAAACCACCAAGCTCAGAGA